GAGATGGAGTCTCACTCTGTAGACCAGGCTGGAGTGTAACGGCGCGATCTTGGCTCACCACAACCTCCGCCTCCCGGGTTCAAGTAATTCTCCTGCCTCAGCGTCCCAAGTAGCTGGGATTACAGGCATGGGCCACCACGCCTGGCTAACTTTTATTTAGATACTTTTTTTTTTTTTTTTTGAGACAAGGGTCTCACTCTGTCGCTTGCCCCGATCTCGGCTCCCTGCAAGCTCCGCCTCCCAGATTCATGCTATTCTCCCACCTCAGTCTCAGTAGCTGGGACTACAGGCGCCCGCCACCATGACGCTCAGCTAATTTTGTTTTTATATTTTTAGTAAGAGACGGGGTTTCACCATGTTGGCCAGGCTGGTCTCAAACTCCTGACCTCAAGTGATCCACCCGCCTCCGCCTCCCAAAGTGCTGGGATTAAAGGCGTGAACGATAGCATGAACCCATCAGATTCTTAATATTTGCAGAAGATTTTTCTAAAATGAGAGTTTTCTAAAAGTTTTCTTCCAACTTTAGAAATAAAAATCATGCCATCCCATCAAAGAATATATGATTTTCACTTTTAGGCCAATCATTAGTCTAGATCTACTTCCAAACAGATTTAGCTCAAAGCTTATCTTTCCTCTGAAGTACATACGTATTATGCTAAAAACTGTCACGCAAAGAATATATAAGCAGCTCTGATCCAGAAATGCAAGGAAAATGTATGTGAGAAAGCAAGAGTATTTATCTCCTCACAGAGAACAGAGTAAGAGCTGGTTTATAAGACATAGATGTACTTTCAAATAGATGTACTGAAATGGGAAAATGAAGAGTAAGACCACATATAGGGTATACTTCTTGGTGTTACAATTTTGAAAACGGATTACTAATGAATGTCTAAAAATTTCACTGCTAATACTCATTTGTCCTCAGATAGGACATCCTTGGAAATCAAGCTCAGGGGGAATTTGTGTAGACACACTGCACTGCATGGATCGGTTAAATATCCCTTCAATCTCCTCCAGTTTACCATCTTCCTTCTTCAATGTCTTAAGATTTTCATTGATTTACTCAACAAACATTTGACACCTACTACATGCCACAAAGTTAAAACACCAGAGAAAGCAAAAGGAGTAAGACACAGTATCTGCCTTCAAGGAACTTACAGCCAGCTGTATCTGCCTTCAAGGAACTTACAGCCAGCTTCAGAGTGTTGGTGAGTGCACATGTCATAGTGTTAATGGGTGCTTTCATGATACAGGGTCTAAGAGGAGGCACAAGAAAGGAGCAGTCAAATGGGAGAAGCAGTCAAGTTAAAGTTCAACAGAGATGGGGGACACCTGACTAAGGAGGAAGGGGAAACATATTCCAAGAGTCAACATCACACTCAAAGGCAAGGAAATATACAACATGGCCCATCAAAGCTTTGCAGATCCACAGACAAGCACTAGACCTACAAAATCAGAATCTGCATTTTAAGAGCCCCAGGCAATCATGCTTACTAGAGTTTGAGAAGCCCTGCGTTAGAGCACTTCAAAGTAGTAGTCTGGTATGGCTAGAACACAGGATGCCATGGTAAGGAACTCACAAGAGATGATGCTCCAGAGGCAACTCCAGCTCATAAAGCACCTGTGCTAAAGAGTCTGGATCTCATTCTGGACCCAATGGGAGTCACCACAATGCTCAAGTGTAAGTAGGAAAATGACATGATCAAATTACCAGGGAGACTAGGGAATGATGATGGGGTTGGAGGAAAAGGGATGCATTCCAAATGAAGCAGATCTAACAGGGCTTAATCATTTGTGCAATCAATAAATGGGGGGTGAAGGGAGTAAGAGATGAATGAGAAAACAAACATGTAGATATCCAGGATCTTTCTGGAAGGCAGGTAGAAACAGCAACATTCATGAAAACAGGGAACGCAAGAGGAATAGATGTGAGAAGGAGGAGGAGTCCAATTTGAGCTGTGTTGGCTTTGAAGTACCTATAGTTCAAGCAGGTGGATGCGTCTAGTAGACGGTCCATATGTGGGAGAAACATCATCAGATAGGTAAGTAACGCCCTGAAAAATGAAAAAGGTCACAAAAGAGAATGAAAACACTGAGAAAACATAGAAGGACCACGGGTAAAACTACCAAGAACATCAGCATTTAATAGGTGAACAGAAGAAAGAGGAATGAAGCAAATGAGACAAATCCTAAAGAGAAGAGAATCTAGAAAAACGGTGTCATCAATACTGAGAAAAGGGTCTCATGAAGGGGAAAATGGAAGAGTAATATGTGAGGTTAAGGCCTCAAAAGTGAATTTGGTAATTAAAAGAGGTCCTCTGAAAAAGTTAAATAAACATACATCTTACACATACACAAGTCAGTAAAAGGATAACTATCAACTAATGGCTCTATGGTTGACAAAAATTAAGGGTGATTTTTAGTTTACTGTTCCCACCACCCAGGTTTTGCAACTATTCCTCGAGGTACTTTGAGGAATAATTTTTGCAACTGTTCCTCAAGGCACTTTTGAAATAATTTTTCAAAAATACAATTAAAAAATTAATAAACAAGATAATAATAGTCTGACAGTGGTGTGACTGCAGTGAGTAGGAAAGGGAATGAAAAGTGAGGAAATCAGAGACAGAGAATTATGGACAGGGAAGAGACTGAGAAGCTTCTAGAGTAAATAGAGTTCCAGGAAAGGTTCTGTGTTTCAGGTGGGCAAGATCTGGGCATGTTTACAGGCTGTGGGGTAGGAGACTATATACAGTCCCCAGAGTTCAGGAAAAAGAGGGAACAGTTACCTTTATTGCCCGTTATCACCTGAACACACAGTGGTGAACAAGACAAAGTCCTGCTCTCATGCAGCTTACCTTCTACTAAGGAAAAAAAAAAAAAACCACAGAGAAATAAGTAATGATATCAGACAAGTGAGGTGTGCCACGAATAAATCTAAAATAGGACTGGCATGTTTTGGATTGAGTGTTGAGGTAAGGCTTCTCTGAAGCGACATTTGAGATCTGAATGACAAGAAAGCAACTTTACAAAGATAAGTGGGAAAGGCCTTTACAGATAATGAAACTGAGGAACTGAGAGGTTAGTAAGATGTCTGAGATTATGCAGTAAGTAAACAGAACCCAGGTCTGATGAACACCTAGACCACCCTTTCTACTAAACTGTGTTCTCTTTATTCAGTTCTCCTCAAATGCAACAGTGAAGATAAAAGAAAATGTGGACCTTCCCCTGACCTTACAGAAACGCTGAGGACTACAATAATAAGAGTAATGGGCACAACTTTCTCAAAAGAAACTCTGAAAGCCAAGAGATGCATGTAGTTCTGCGCTCAGAGGCATGATTTCAGAAAGTTAACTGTTCAAGTCTAATATGAAAACACAGGCAGGCTCCAATTACAAGTAGGTTACATTCCAAAGACTATAAGTTGTTAAGAAATCATAAATTATTTTCTCCACGTAATTTTACAGCGAGATTAGGTGTTCAGGCTGGTCCACGAAGGTCCACATAACAACCTAAGTAGTAGTTATGACTACTGTAGTAACCAACAAAGCACTTACTATGCATCAGGCCCCATACTAAGTGCTAAATACAGATAATTCTGAAATATTCCTAACACCATTACTACTCCCATCTTATAGCTAAGGTAACTGAGGCCTGGAAATGTTAAGTAACTTGCCTAATGGCATAATGCAGATAAATTGAGGATAAAATGCAGATAAAACTGGAGTAGGCTGCAGTCTGGGCCCAGCCTACTGCAGATCCCTGGCTCTCAGTCCTTATGCAAGCTCTCAAAGTACCTTAATTTATAAGCATCAGTCTCTCAAAATCATTTTTTCTCCAAAGCTAAAAGCTCAGCAACCTATCTCCCCTTCTCTGGTGGTCAGAATACTATTAATAACCAAATGAACACTTCCATCAACTTTTTTTATCCCCTCCACTACAAAAGTCTATACCAAACCTATCTCTGATAAATCTCAAACCATGAGAGCATTTAGTCGCACATCTGACACCCACTGAGAGTTTAACTTGCCTTTGCATCCCCAGATTCCAACAGAGCGCCTTGCATGTGCTCATTCATTCAAAGACACTTATAGGCCGGGAGCAGTGGCTCACACCTGTAATCCCAGCACTTTGGGAGGCCGAGGCAGGAGGATCGCTTAAGGTCTGGAGTTCGGGACTAGCATGGCCAACATGGTGAAACCCAGTCTTTACTAAAAGTACAAAAGTTAGCCTAGCATGGTGGCGCACACCTGTAATCCCAGCTACTCGGGAGGCTGAGGCAGGAGAATCGCCTGAACCTTGGAAGCGGAGGTTGCAGCGAGCCAAGATCGCGCCATTGCACTCCCACCTGGGCTACTGATCTCGAAATAAATAAATAAATAACAAAGACATTTACAAATCCTGCCATGACAGTTACCAACTCGCACAACACCTTCCTAAACGCTGAAGAAAAACCCCACTCAAGAGAACGCAGGCAAAAGTCCAGACTAATCATAATCCAGCATCCAGCTTTAGGCCATCCGTGGCTCACCCAAACTCCCAAACCATTCCCCGCCGCCCCCTCCCACGCAAAAAGCTAAATTTCTCAGTATCTAAATGCTAGGTGGTTACTGATTACCAATAGTGACCCCACGTGGGACACCACCCAAGCTAGCCGCGTGTAAGGAGGAGACCACCACCCGACTCTCCAAAGCAGTTTTCAAAGCCCCCCCTCGTCTTCGTTGACCGTGGGTACCCCGAGGACAGTAACACCCAGGCTGAAGTGGCGAGGGTAGAATTCAAGCCAGAAACAAGCCATGCCCGCATCCGTGACCTTCTGAAGGCGCTTAACCCTGTCACCCGAAAACCCCTGGTAGGGAGCGTGGTGCGGGGCACGGGGAGGCTCGGTCCTGGGGCGGCGAGGAGGGTGGCGAGCACAGGCGGGACCCGGTCCCTGACGGCGCCCACGACCCCGGGGGGCCCTCGCGCCGCAGCCTAACTGGAAGAAGGGCCTGGGCACTCACCCGGCCACGGGCCCGGCGCGAGCGGCAGGCAGATAGGAGGCGGCATGCGGCCGGCCCGGGCCGCCAGTGAGGAGGCGCAGGGAGAGCGGGAGGCGCGGGGCCGCCCCGGCACGCAGCAGCCAACACGAGGATCTCAGCAGGGCTGCCATGGCTCCAACGTCCCCGCAGCGGGAAGCACGTTCCGCCAGAAGGACAGGAGGAGCACGTGACCTCAGGGTCGCCCGGCGCGGCAGAGACCAACTGCAGGGCGCGCCAAATGTGGGGGGAGCCAGGGATCGTTTTAGGTTGGAAGATGGAAATCCGCACTTCTCTGAGAAGAGGGGAGTCAATGTGATACTCATATAAACGATGTTGCTTGTTTCATTATCGAAGCATTTCTTTTCCGTCTTCCGTCTCCGATCTGGGCATCGTGTTCATTCGCTGCACCCCCGCACTCCTCTGTTCGTAGAGCCGCAAGGGGTCAACTCCGCCCAAGTTGGCGCAGAGGCTTGCGGGAGGCCAACTAGTAAAAACACCGAGAACTCTCGAGAACAGCCGACTATGAAGATCCCAGGATGAGACGGTTTCCCCGCCCCCGAGTGCAGACGTTGCAACCAACTTTCAGCGCTGACGCGATCTCCAATAGGAACGGCCCTTCACTCTCAGAAACGCGGGCCAGAGAAACCGTGGAGGACTTTTCACCTTGCCGTTTGCCTCCCAGGTTCAACATGATAGGATTTGGATTATTAGGGCCTGGGAACAGCGTAAAGGAACGCGCGGGTCACCACCTTAAGCGCGTATGCGGAGCCTCGCTTTAGGAAATAAATGAATTCTACCAAAAGTCCTATAGTTTTAAAACTGGAATTGAACTGTCTTCCCAAACCCTCCACGCCTACTGCGCCTCTCCCTTCAGTAAATGCACATATACATGTGAGAAGTAGAAGAACAATGCAATTAAGTCTCCA